TTTATTTTTTGCTTTACGCAATGAAATATTTTATCAGTCATAAGGCAAGACCAAAGAGAAGATGAAGATGAAGTATCTCCCATTACGTATTTATGTATGTATTAAATATTATACCGGAAATAACTACCGTACGTACGTAACCACCCACCCAAATTCCTTGCCTCATGCCATGGGGAATTTGGTACGGACTAATGATGCCTCTGTTCTGTGCATCTTCACGTAATGTTAATGTGCTGGTTATGATTTTGAAACAGATTTAATCAAATTAGGATTAACGACTACATTATCTCTGGGTGGGAGGACTTATTCTTGCTCACTTTTACTTGTGCTTCCTCTCGCCTACTGTATCTGTAATCATACTTTGAGATGATCTCGCTTCCCTGATGGAATGGAGGAATAAAATACTGACAAGAGGAAGATTTACAATCAGGACGGAAGTGAAATTTTTTGAATCAGATTTGACCAATTCAACGATAAATACAAAATACAAAGTAGCAATTAGTACCCGATTCTCACTTTCGATTCAGTTTCACGCTACGTAGGTACATGTATTTGTAAATACCTGATGGGAATATAATTTAGTGCAGTCGATAATATAGTGACGACGTAGTGTCATTCATACCGATGTGCTACATAGTATAGCGAATTTACGGAAAACGTGGTTTACTTTGTTTTTACCCAAGATAATGGAGGTAATTGACTACCATAATAATCAAAGAGGGTGGTTAAATGTTATCCACCCTCGGATAAATAGCGATAGGCAACACACCAACACCTGCAAATCCTCTCTAAACGGGCATATATCTTCCTCTCTGGATATATGTATACCTCTGTCCGTTGTACACCGTGCACACATAAATAATGCAATTTCCTCTGAAACCGTCCGGGTATGAAATGATTAAGGTTGCACGAAGAATGTGCATTGACACTGAAAGACTGAAATGAAACCAACATTTTTATTTAAAAACACTACGAGCTCGGTAATTCAACCGAACAGAGAAGCAGCAGCAGCAAAGCAAAGTCTCTTTTTCTTCAGGTAAAAGCATAGGCTTTTTTATAATTTGTATTCGGTTGGCTTAGTTTGCTTGGGTGGATTCGATTGAATTTTGGAGGAGTCGTTGAATTCAATGGAATCGGCAGGAAATAAAGGAAGTTGGGAGACAAGCTGCAGTTAAATTAGCGAATTTGGAGTAGGTATCTACTACTTTACCCTAACTAACTACTGGTTTTTGACAGCTTGTAAAAATCTCGGGGCAAAAAAATATAATATGTTTCGCATACATATGTATGTCTAGGAATTAATATATAAATTTCATACACCAAATTATAAATTTGAGACGCATTTATCTTACGTTATTTGTGATTGTGAAAGTGAATGCATCGTCGTGATACGGAAAAAATAAGGAAGGTCCTTGGCTCTCGATAATAACATTGCCACCGAGCACACGTATTTAGAGGTACACGTACGTAGAGGTTTCGATGCACTCCAGTTCGTCGGTCGCCAGATTTAATCACTTTTTTGCGCATGGAGCAGAACTGATACTCATCGCAACAATGCAATGAACTACCTTCGGAAGGATGAATCGCACAGTTAACTCGGTGTTAATTTTTGATAAGAATGAGATTCTGGTAAAAAGTGTCTAAAAACACATATGCACCTTCATCTCCAGAGGCAATTTAGGTATGTGTCTTCCACCTCGCAAAAAGCGTTTCACTCTTGATTTTGTGAGGCTTTCCGTATCATAGAAGCTGCGAAGCCACAGCTCCGTCACAATTAAGAAAGAAAGTTATTATGCGACATGCAAGCAAACAAACAAAACTTGTGTGTTTGTCGAAATTTGCACATTCTTATCTTTCCCAGTTGCTGGCATCATCTTTGTCTTAGTTTAATTGTCTTGAAAGGAAACAACGGTTCTATTTTGGTCTGCAGAACAAGATTTCCTCATTCTCTCCAAAAGATGCAATACTAGTTAAAGTAACAGTACCAGTCATAATTTATGAGATAAACAAGTAGTGACCACTGCACTACTACGTAGATAAATAGGAAATGAATGAAATTGTTGCTTCTCTATTCCAAAACAAGATGATGAGCTACCGAATTTGAGGATACTTGCAAATATTGTGATACTCCTGGTGATAAGTAACCAGTAGTTGCATTGCTGGCTGCGGTAGTAATGAGAGAGTGGACGTGATAAAATCTTTCGGACTTTTTGTAATTTCTTAATTATCCCCCGTCCATACTTTCCATATTGTATTCGTAGCCATGTAGGAAATGCATAGTAATGAAATATGAGAAACTGGTTGCTCACATCACATCTCTGATATGATCGGCTTTTTGCGGTTACATTACAAAGTTATTATAACAACCAGACTCATAAAATAAATCGGATAGATAACAAATGTACCCAACTCCTCGCCGACGTGTATAAATAAATGCAATAACTGGAATAAGACATTTATTATTACGCGTCCACACAAACTAATTAACCATATATTTATAAATTAACTGTAAAATATGTAATGTACCCGTGTGACTGAGAAAGTTGGTGGAATTGGGATGCGCTTGGTCACAGATGAATTGCATGCAAATGATGGCAAGCCAATAATATAATATCTCAGCTCAGCATTCCGTCCAATACTTAATTTGGGTTTAGTTAGTGAGACAACATCGTTTCGTCATCCTTGCACCTTCGTGACAAGTAAATGAAAAGTAGTGTAGGTACAAGATGCTCAATGAAGTATGTCTCTCTCTCTCTCTCCTTATGTATTACCCAGAAGAATTAAAAACAGGAGAGGAGACTATACGGGTTATATTGTGAAGAATGGCTGCAAGTATTCCGTTATAATTATCGTGAGAAGATCCAGACAGTACGGAAACAATGGGCAATAAATGCAAGAAAAACTATTATCTAAAAATGTTATTGGATTTTACTTAGGATTAGTTGAATTAATTGTGGTGGTGGTGGTGATGAGTTTAGTTAGTGCTGTTTTCCTTCATCCTGTAACAATTATCAGTTGGTCACGAGAAAAGATGTCTCAATTTTCAATAATAATTCAATAACGAGATCTAGTTGACGAGAAGGATCATCATCAATGCGAAATAACTTTTCTTCTTCTTAACTAGCTCGACACGATTTTGAATCTAAATATGAGACTTGATATGCCGTAATATTTGCATTAGCATACTCGTTGAAATTATATTATGTACAAATTGAGACTGTATAATAATAAATCTTTCAACGAGTTGATGGTCTTCGTGCCTAAATAGGTGCCATTGCCATGCCGGACGGAAAGTGTGGTTTATCTAAAGAACTTCACTTAAATATTTCCTTCAAAATCAGCCGGTTTTTTTATTTGCTTGAAACGATATGGAGTCAAAAGTCAACAAAATTCGACCCGAAGCGAACTATGTCTGTCTGCACCACGATATCTTTTTATTTCTCCTTCTTGTATGAACCTCTTCTGCTGGTCAATCCGTTCGTCCGGTCAGAATAAAAATTGCGTGTCCAACAATTATCTACTCTCTCTTATTGCACACACAAATCTCATCTTTTCTTCCCATCCATGAACTTTGGAATGGTGTGTTATATTGTATTCCATCTAATAATATTTTTTATAACGACGAGGGTTTCGAGTTAGCAAGATAAATAGATAAATACGAATCTGTTCCGTACTGAAATTTTGGCAAAGTTTGGCCACCTCTACGTATGTACGTATTTCGTCTGGATTATGTAATAAAAATGAGAGATAACATGGAAATGGACTGTTACGTAGGGTAGGAAATGCTTTTAAGTTGTTTGGTTTGGTCTGGTCTCCTTATTACATTTCATTCCTGACAGAAATTAAATTCATAAAAATTTGTGTCTCTCTGCCAAAAGTACACAGTTGGTCGACTTGCGTTAGGTTTGAAATAAATATTATTACGGTTTTCATCATCATTCCTTCTTCTTTCCTCCTTTTGTAGGAAATCACGAAGAAGGTAGATAATTTGAAATTAGAAAAAGTTTCCATTTACACTGTCTACAAGTGTTTTTTTTAAGACTTGGGTGGTGGTTTGTTAATGCTAATGTATGTTTGATTTGCTCTGTCCTCAGGAAGTCGGGAAGACACTTCTACTGTGTGTTGTGGTTTATTTTTTGGAACTTTTTTTCGAATTCCTACTTATAATAAATCACTCACTTCTACCCGACAATGATGTGTTGGCAATTCATGGGAATTTGTAGAAATTCATATTTTTCACGTGAAACAAAACGGTGAATGAGAAGAAAAAAGGAAGAAATTGCATGAAATATTATTATGTATGAAATAATATAGCAAAATGATTTTTAATTGCAAAGTCAGCATATGAATAGCTAGCTTTCCCATGTTTTTTTCCGTAGTAAACAGTATTTTCCCTGACTTGACACTTGTACTGATTACTTGGACTGGATTGTTATGTCCACTTCCTTCCTTAACATTTTAGTCCATTCTCAAAAAACTGCATGCATGCTTTTATTACCTACAGCAGCGTGGGTGGGTGTAATAATGTGTTTAAACAAGAACTATATGTGCATACACTTCAGTCAATGAATGTGCAATGGAGTAAGTTTAAAGTGCTTTATGTGGGTTTATGTATGTGCGATGAGGGTAGCATAGTAGCTCTACTTTTTACGCCCATCGCTCATTTTTCTCAGAAGTACCACCTTTGTGAAACATGTAAAGTGTATTGTGTTATGATTGTGACTTGCAGTCGGATAAAGTGAGAAAAGTGTTGACTTGATGTGAGGCAAAGTGACACAACGTGAGCCAAGTGGAGTTGAGTCGTCTCATTTTCTCAATGTTTAATGAATCCTCTCTTATTTTTTGTTGTTGAATGAAACGTATAATATGCACCTAATTAATGCCTAATTATTCCCTCTCATCTTGTCAAAATGCAATAAACTTAATGACTGACTTCTTTCTCGTTTAAGGATGGATGGCAAATAAAAATGTGCAAAAACGTTCAAAGTTGCGGATCTTACTTGTAAATTTGGCAGGTAGAGGTAAACTCTCAAATGACTCGGGTTGTTGTTTTCGGTGAGGAAGAAAGTCGTGGAGATGTGACAACTTGAATAAAATCTCCCAACTATTACGTCCAATTAAGAATCCTTGATCAGAATACGAATGTGTTTTCAGACCACACAAAATTCGGGATAAATGTCAGTTTCAAAGTTTAAAATATTCAATCAATCACTCGTCGTTTATCGCACGACCACTTTTAAATTGAAATTCAAATCAAGTTTTGTTTCACAACTGTAACTTGTTTACTTGTTGAGTTGGTTAGTTAGTTTCTTGTTCCGATCCGATCCTACGGAATGTCAATCGCTTACTGACTTGATATGAAACCAGATCAAAGCAAGTAAGAATTGACTTGGTAGTGGTCTCTTTCTTCTTCCTCTCGGCTTGGGTGGATTTCTCGGTTGACGACGTCTGTCGAAGTGGTGGGATGATGGGTGACTGAGGAAGCAAAGTGTGATTCTTAAGAGTTTTAAAGGTTTAAGGCTTTAAAGTGGATTTCCACCTGTGGGAACAGTTACCACCGTGCCGTGTTTTTTAGTAGGGTGGGTAGTAGTAGGGTGGGAGATAGGAACTCGGGCGAGCTAGCTAGCTGACGACTTTTCCTAACGCAATAATGTAACTGAATATGCTAAAGCACAAGAGGTTGTTTGGTCAATCCCGGTCTCACACAACATCAACTATCTGCTCCCTACCTGTGATGATACGATGCCAAAGAGATGCAATGCAATGCAATGCAATGCCCGATAATCTAAAGTATGGAATGTTTACTGTATTTAAAAACGTGTACCTACGTGCATTCGTTTCTGATACCACGGGATATCAACAGGGTTTGTTTCTGGTACGAGGAAAAAGGTGCATGATACGTAAGTACGTATCTTGCTTTAGTGTTTTATGACTACTTTCTTCTTCTGCTATGTAGCATCTCTTATTCTTCTTTTTTTGTGTGAACTATCCTAATTTTAATATCATCACAACTGGCCTCGGAAAGGCCCACAGCTCAATTTTATTGGGGTTGGACCTTTACTATGAGATTAGACACGGTTTAATTATTAAAGTGTTTCAAAAATTACTCGTGACAAAAATGATTGATAACGATGTACATATTTCGTTAATTACTGTACGTACAATAATAATCTACATCCACCTAGGTTAGGTTTAGGTACATCATTGGGTGGAACCAAATCATCTCAATTCTCATACGTTACATACGCGGTGAGACCGGAGTTGAACTCAATTTGAAATTGCATGTTACCTCATTGCACTCTGGTAAATAATTATTATTTTCACGGAATGCGTAAATTGTAGGGCATATCGTTCAACGTATTAAAATAGTTTACAGTAGGAGGTGGGGATATTAATGCTAATTAGTGAATTGTTACTGAAACTGGCGGATAATCTAGTGCGCAGAAGAATAAAGAAAAAAAGTGGTAATTCGGTTAGATTTTTATTGATTAGCTGCCTTATTACACAATCTTACGTAAGAACAAATGTCACACAGCTTACATACATGAAGCTCCGGTTAATACCTAAAATTCCCACCGGTTTCAACAAAACTTCACAAGACTTAATAGTTAAATGAGGGAAACCAAGAACGACAAAATATTTTGATCTTGATTTACTAACCAACCTGTTCCGCTGTTGATACCTAATTCACTACGTATAATTGCTGTAACAAGCAACTGTAAATTCGCTCATCATAATAATAAAAGTCAGCAGAAGAGAAGCCACAGCCTGGAGGAAGGTAGGAAATCGTTGTCACATCCACACGCATATATGAACACTCGAGACAATTTTATTATGGGTATTTACCACCCAAAAAGAAAACTTTGTTGGTTGGCGATTTTAATCCGAATATTTTTTTTGTGCTTTATGGACTCGCTTGTTTTGATAGGATGTGCCGTGATGATTATCTTATTGTAGGAACGGAAATTTTTTTTTACAAAAATTGTTTTGACATTATAAATATTTCTACTTTATTGCTTTTAAAGAATTTTTTGCTTCATATAAATTGCTTTCTTGTTTAATATCGCATCTTTTCAGTGTGGCCTGTTTATCTGTTTTTTTCTCTCTCTTCTTTCTTCTTGGGAAAGGTGCTAAATAGAAAATAATGGGGGAGACTATCAACTGCTAATATTTTGTCACATTCATTCCTCCTCCGTTGCCTCACATTTTTTTATATGTACGCAGATTTCATACAAGTTTTTTTTCTTCTCTACTCATCATTTTTGTGTCATTTAATCTAATATGACATACTACTTTTCAATAATAAGCCCAAATATAATGCGACATTCTTATTAAGTGCTACTTTCTTGTATGCACACCTTTTCAACTGTGTATGTATGGATAAATCGGCACATACATAGCCCAACCAACCACATGCCCGAATCATACATAATGACCACCAGGTGACTTGAATTTTATTTCACGTGTAATTATGCATGTAGTTTAACATTTAAAATTCAAAGCACCTTCATCATCTCGACTCATAAATTGGCAGAGAGTGCAAAATGCAATGTGTCCCATATAATAATTTATTTATTCTCCTGCATTTTACCCGTTGCATATCGTTGCACTCTCGCCTATTAAGATGTGAAGAAGTTGTGTTGTTGTCTTTGATGGTGGATGGATTGAATGGATGTGTCTTTAATCTCATTCAATTAATTTAAATAAAAATTGCACTCTGAGATGGACAATGGGTGTCCGTTATTTTGTATACCAACCTAAATTTCAGCTCTCATTACTCTTCTCATCTCTTTATTTAATCCGGGTTTCCTTTCAATTGTCTTCATCTCACTCTTTCGTACGTCTTGTCGTCACATCACATCATCTTCTTGCCTGGGTTAGATATTTACTTGGTTGGGACATATAATTCAGACCAGACCCAAATAGTGCAACGCAACACAAACAAACACAACACGGGTGATAAGGGCAAGGTTGACTTGCTTTAGTTTAATACATACTGACAGTCACGTTAACATGGCTCCTCGTTAGATAGATCTTTATAATATACACACACTTGTCTCGTCATTTGTATGTTTATGTACACACTCTTGTCTTGTCCTTGTTTGTGTTTGTTTTGGGAGATAATAATGAAGAGTCAAGCCACAAGCCAAAATGGAGTCCAAAGAATGGTGCCCTTTTTAATTGTCACGTCGTATGTAACACCTTTTGTACGAGTAATTTAGTTGTACCGAATTCTACGACATCTTTTCATCCCCGATATATACATATTGACTCTTTGATAATAATTGGCTTCAATAGAAGTAAACTATGCCAATTGCGATTCCACGGTTGTTTTTACTAGGTGTCGGTAATAAAATCCTGAAAATTAAACGGGGAGGAAACGATTGAATTAAAATTCAAGTAGTTTGGAATAATTTGAATTTCATGTTTTTGTGGAGGACGAGTTATGTTGCAGTTGACAAGGACGATTAAGAAGAAGAATGTTACTTATAAACCTGAAATGTTTGGTTGGAGCACCCGAATTTACAAAGTCAAGCCGGGTGAAAGTAATTGGATCTTACATACATACTCGTAATATTAATGTTAATTGAAATTCTTGTTTTTTATAGTGTACACGTACATACATGCGTTCGCAATTTTATTATACGGAGCACATCGTACTGTGGTAATTATCTTGACGAGATTTAGCTTCAGGTGTGAGCATCAAGACAGAAGTTATGAAACGAATTAAGGAATTGACAGCATTATGACCATGAACTGCTTGGGGTTTGTTCGGCTCTGTTTGAGATTTCGGTTTGAGTGATGTTCGTGTTTACCTACACAGTTTCGAATGCTTGCAGACGGATACAGACTTAAATACGTGAATTACTTTCGGTTAATTTCTTCTTCACCTGTCCAGCCGTAGATCCCATGTACTTATTATTTATGCTGTTTATCTATCTAGCACCACTGCCAACTGCTAAGAAATTATAATGCACCCATCTCCCAAATATTAGAGCTAGGACAAGCGTATCGAATGCCATTGAGTCATTGTCCGTAATTTTTCCATGCGCATGGATCACGTAATTGTACAGCGCCAAGTGCATAGTCAGAGCCAAATGAGCAAATAAATAGGTAGGTACACACACATATAAACACTACGCGTGCATTATGATACCTTCCGTAACTAATAAATACCTCGGAGGCAGTTAAAAATCGCTTTTAGATCTGTGTACACATGTAAATACGAGGGGTGGTGGTGGTGATAATAATAATGCAATGACCTGTCACTCCCAAAATGCCTATTCACTTGGTTAAAATGACCCTTAAATAACTTTATGGGAAATAACACGACATTTCCCTGCTGGACCACATAATCAGCACGACAATATCATTTTCCGTTAATATAATCAGCAGCAGCACAGTTGATTCATTAGTAAATATTTTTACATACCTAACAATTATGTTGTAGTGTGAATTTTATAGTGCGAATTTTTGCTCACAAAATGAGGAATTACTTATTTACTAGGAGCAGTATATACGTACGTACAAGCTCATCTCGAGTTAACGATGTTTGGATTTTTAAACCCTAATTTCTTAAGCCCATTAGGTGGGCAGAGGGTAGAGGAGTATTTTTCACGGTGTGGAATAATACATAAATAAGTGCATTTCCTGCCGGCCTGCATGCATGCCATTTCATTTTATTACTCGCATAAACGTACTTGCAACAGAGTTCGATTTTTAAGACATGGTGATGTGCACTGTGTTGCTTCGTTTGCAAATTCTCAAGCAAGGTGAGGATGTAACGACCGTAAACGGTTAATTTTAATGCGTTGCGTGCAATCTTAAGATATGACGAGGTTTGTTTAAATGCTCGGAACGGACGGACGGATATCGGAAAAATGAATTATTTACTGAGGGGAAGTATGTACGTAGAAGCAAATTGATAGGTATATTCATGTTGTTTTGTTCCTCATCTCGATCAAAAATTATATGTTTGCTTACATGTTGATTGAACCGATGTTTGAGGATTTTTGACTTTTTAATTTCAATCCTGAATTTAATCTGCGACTTGGTAATTTTTTTAAAATCGACACGAATATGGTGTCCTTTTTGGGGTGATTGTACATATAGATTTCCAGCCTTAGTTGTTAAATATTTGATAAGATAACTAGCTTTTAGCAGGAACAATTTTGCTTATCAATATTATACTTACTATTTTTGTGTAAAGTGCTCAATTAATTGTGGAAAAAAATGTATATCCACTTTTATAGAGGTGACACAATAGCGCATAAAGTTCTTCTTGTTGAAACATGAATTTGAGTGGGTAGCTGTAGCCGACCTAACATTAATTTTTTCCCAAAAAATTGCATGCTTTCAATCACCATGTTTTGAGCTAATGAAGCCATTAAATGCTGATATATTGTTACTCAACTCTTGCCAGAATGGTGCTTATTTCACCACTTCATCTTTGGTGGTCGGGTCGGTCATCATTATCGGTATTGTAGCCTG